ATATATATATATATATATATATCTTGACCGCGCGTGCGTTGCTGGCCGCCCTTAAAAGGTTTGCAAGCCAATTTCCAAGCATTGGGAACAAATCAACGCCCAATGAACGCACACGAATTACTGGTAGTTTGACATGCTGACGTTTTGCTTGAAAAAAGGGACAACACGGAGGGCTTCAGAAAGCTTATGATTAGGAAGCTAAGGGCATACATATAAACCAAAAGAGGTTTGCGGAGATTGACAGGAAGAAGGGGATAAGCCAGGCTTTCATGAAGGTTTGTGTGATGGTCATTGGCATAGTGTAACTCAAAACAATGGCAAGGAGCAAAAGAATTAGGGAGCTATCCCTATCAATTCGACTCAAACTCCAGGGGTTATAAGCGAGCGAACATCTATCATGAACCAGATGCGTGCGTGGCATATTTTCTACTGGACTAGAGTTTCATCTGTGGTGCAATTGTGGCCAACAATCCACCGATTCTAATGTCAGACGGGCCGCTATCTTGCTAGCCGAAACAAAATTGCCCCCTACTTCAAAGTGCTTGAAGTCGCTGGAAATCGTTGGGATCTTGAAATATCTACTCGATTTCAGCTACATGTGGCAAGCGGCCGCACCAACCACGGGAAGCCGAGAATGATCATGAATGGTCACATGTCGGATAGCTCAAGTGGATGATAGAAAATGATGGTTCTACAGCGTACGCACTTGGCCATCCATTGGCTACGCACAACTAATCGTATATATATATATATATATATATATATATATATATATATTGCCCTCCATTTGGTACACACAACTAATCGTATATATATATATATATATATATATATATATACCTGATTGATATTATAAGACGTGTCTTTTGATTTGTTGGGAACTATTGGAAACTTCAGCAGACAATCAAGCAATACAACAAAAACAGATAACAAGTTATAGACCTGTGCTGGCGACGATGACACATGTAGGCTAGAGGTAACCAAATATTTCGTGCCGATTCTATACGCACCGCCGTCTAGCGATAGCAAAAGAAGCAAAAGTGAAGAATCCTACCTGGAAATAACTTCAATGACTGCATCACCGAGAAACTCCAAACGCTCGTTTCCGTAGATATTTGAGCGTTCCTCATGCATTTTAGGCAGCACAGACATGACTTGGATCATTTTCGTCAATCCCTTCTTGCGCCACGCTTTGTACAACTGCAGTTTATCACCATACTCTATTATACGTGGTCCACAGCTGACGAGTGAATTCTGAAAGTGGTCTTGATTGGTTCCAAAGTTGGTTCTCCTGTAGGACGGATGAGTAAGTGCCTGCTATAAAAAACGAAACAGGGGCAGTAGCAAATCAGTGAGGACGGATTCGTAGTAGTCGATTATCCTCTGTCCACGAAAATTAAATCTCATGATGTTGAATAATTTTTCATCGGGTTTTATTGCAGAACGCTGTACCAAGTTTGGAGCCCAACAAAAGACTGTCAGTAAGGGATAATTCGATTGAATAATTAGGCTGAGTGAGTACCGGCAGTGAGGAGGCGTTTCTGGTTCATAAACCTTTAGTAAACCAAGGGACAACGCCTTTTTATCGTTATCCCCAAACTGCCTATCCTCACAAAGAACTGCTAATATTTCACAGTCGGAGTATCCCAGTATACCACTCCCACTGGTAATACTGGCCAGGCTCGGGTTTAAAAAAGGGGCATGTGAAGATAGAGCTGGAAACTAGCGCAAGCTTTGGAGCTGATGGTGATGATGACACTCCAATGAAATGAGATCCATTATTGCAGACTGCAGCTGCTTGTATAAGGGCTAAAACTGTGAATAACATCAGAAGAACACGGGACTGAATACTACTTTCATGGAAAATGACCGAAATGGGTGGTCACTGCACAGCCTGACCTTATATGTTGGACATCCAATCAATGTGAAAGAAGGGATGAATTCACAAAACGGATTTATCATTCCACTCCAATAGGACTCAGATAAACAATCGGTAGGAGATGAGACCTAGCTAGATCTATTGAGGACATCCTCTTCCAGTCCGTTAAATGAAATATTACACATTCTACTGGGACAACCAGGCAACTTGGTGAAAATTCGGCGGAATCGCTATCCCATCAAACTTTTCCGGATGACCCACAGAAAAATAGGGTGCTCCAGATGCGACTCCCCAAGAAGTCGCTCCCACCGCTTAAGGAGGGAGAGTGCACACTGAGAGGGAGATTCAACGAAACTTCTAGCCGGTTGTCTCTCCGAAGCGAGGTCTTGATTGCTGGTCAATAACCGAATCACACCTTTAGTGAGTCGTGAATGATATCCCTCATTATCAATTCAGTTGCCTCCAAAGAATAGGTCTAGCAAAATTGACTTTCATTCGTACACGCTTTTTGCATCATCTATGATGTATAAATTCAGTGCTAAGAAAAAGGAGAACCAACAAGCCGACTCCAATGTTTGACCGTGATCAGCTCCAAGTTGGAATCGTGAGACGATAAATAACATAAAGCGCAAGACACAGTTAAGTCTTCGGTAAACGAGCACTTCACGTTCGAAGATGCCATAGGCAAGGAAAACATGAATCACTGAATAAAAGGGCACGGTGTCCAAACAGAGCGAGAGCCGTTAGCGCTGAACAGGCAATTAAGCACTAAAAATCCTCGCTGTGTTTGGAAATTAGGCATGGTGTCCCTTGAAGGCGAGATGGTTCAAGTGATTAGAGTGTAAATTTACTGACCGAAAGGTCCGTGGTTGGAACTCGGCCTCTGTCTCTCGATTTCCCCTGTCTAAGCTTGGGTAACCTGAGAGTACCCTAGCCCTCGTGCTTCTCTCTGGTGGCATGGCAGCTAAGCACCGATGTTAGTTAGATGAACAGGCACTTCCTTAAGGCGTAATTGGTCGAAAGGAACATGATCTTGCAGTAAGGCAAAGCATGCCCGACTGTGGTTGGTCCACTGGTTGTTTGCGAAACGCGGACAGTCAAACGTCCAACTCATGTAAAGGACCATGGGAAAATGAGTAAAACGTTTCCGATCCAGCAGGAAATTTCTTGTCAGAAGACAAATCCGGGGTTTTGCGCATGCCGAACGGTTTGATCAGTCCATTGAGTACTGTTTCTGTCGTTGCACGTAAAAATCACATTTTTAAGGTGACACTTTGTACGGACAGTAGCTTGAAGCTCAGTGAGCACTGACACTCGCTTGTAAGCTGGAACTTCAAACCATCTGAAGTCAGCTCTAGGATTTTGTACAGCGCAAACGTTTGCACAAGCGTTCTGAGAGTTGCAGGCTAATAAACCAAACACCCCGTGCATGTAAAGTGAAACCCGACCATTTTTAAAACCACCCATAAGTATCAATCCCACACAGCGCTCTCTCTGGAGTACCTACCTTCCAAATGATGGAAACGTTTGTAGACTTTGGAAAGTTCAACAACCGATTTCAACGCCAATTCCCAACAACCCCAGAGATCATAGCCATTTTTCACTGGTTCGATGCTTCGGCCGTTTTTGTCAGTTTGGTGCGTGTGCCAACTAATATCATGGCACTCTTGTGTACGAGCCTCAAGAATCTGGATACGGATGAACACTCACGTACTCCTTGGGTTTGCGGATCAGCCCTGTGACCCAAGTGAATAGTCGCCACCTGTTGCCGTTTTCATCGGCGATACATGCATATCAAAGGTGAATATGGCGCTAGCTACAGATGTCAGTTTCGATTATGACGGTTTCATGTCATGCCGAGCCAGTAGGGCTTAAGGAATTAACGTAATCAGGTTGCGGAGACGAATGGTTATTGCCGGTTAGAAGATAACTGTACGAGAGTCACAAGAAACTTACATGCAATAACGATTTATTTTTGAACGTATAACCAAGTCGAGCCTCCAAGCTCTCCAGGGACTTATGGAACCGCAGATGCGAAATGAGAGAAACTAAGTTGATGGCGTGTTGGGAAACATCCGGTCGAAGACCTGTTCGATAAAATCCCTCGGAACTCAATTCCACGGTAATTTCTCGACGATGTACACTGAAACGGGGAAATATCAGCAACTATTAAAAGTCAACAGACCTCCTCATTCTCACCAGGTTAACATGAAACGCTGCTTTATGAAAAGTTATATCTTGTTTCCTATCGTACACTTCCTAAAGTTTCTTATAAATTGCTGCACACGCTCAGAACATACCACCTTTGTTGGTTTCTCTAAAAAGATAAAAATACCCGTGAATCTTGCTACCGACAGATATCGAAAACGACACCAGCTAACAACCCCCAACTTACTACTTGTCTCGGAGATCTGACAAGTAGGGTACGGAATATTAAATTGTGCTGCAACCACTAGGTTTTGGGAACCGTGCGTAGCTAGCGGAGTAAGCCCATGGTACAAAAGTTGATTACCGGTTAACAGTGATAGGGCAGACGAAGAAACTTTGTCTTCCGATGAAAAAATGGGACAATAACGCATCCAAGTAGAACAAAATCGATTCAAAAGGCGTTAAAAACTTGAAATGAAACCTCCGAAGCCACTAACCCGGAATGTTCCATGGCTTCCAGCTCGCTGGCCAAATGTGCAAGCTCCGATCGATCATCCGGAGTGATACGTGGCTTATTCATCATCAAGTACTGTAACTTCATGAAGTTCTTCAAAACGCATTTGTATCTGGGCTCTCGAGTCAAACTGAGCTTCATTGGTGTGAAGGTCATGTGAACAATTAAAGGGTAGATGAGTACGCCATCAGACGGCTCACCAGCCAGTGAGCGACGGTCCATCTGATCCACTCGGATTGCTGGAGGTTTCTGAATAATCGGAAGTAAACGGCAGAGATCACAGTAGCAAACCAGGTACGTGAAGGGAGAGGGAGAAAAGTTGCTGTGTGACTTCTTACCGAAACACAAGTATAATGATAAGTTAAGTGGTTTTAGAGGTGATACAGCAACACGAAATATGAGGACACAGATAAGCAGCTTTCTCCGGACACTAATCAGTGTGAACACGGTAACCAGTAACGAAACCAATACCGCACAGTTAACAAAGAACTGATGTTTTTGTCCTGTTTGAACAAGAAATATCCCAATGTAAACTAGTTCAAATAAACTGGTCACTTTATAAAGCTTGGACAAGGAGTTAAGGAAAATGGAACGATATGGCAATGGGTAGTGCAAGGTAAAGGATGCAAAGAAAACATTAAAAAGGTTAAATAAGAAGAAACAGCGGGTTAAAGATTAAGGAGAGCATGTGCAACAACGGTACTGGTAGCGTGAAATCGCATGCCGATAAGTACCTCCAACCTTTTTTAAAGGCGAGATGGCTCAAGTGGTCAAAGCGCTAATTTACTGGCTAGATTTTCCGTGGTTCGAACACGGCACCTGCTTCTCGACCTCCCCTCTCTAGGTTTGGGCAACATGGCAGTATCTTAGCCCTCGTGTTTCCTTCGGGTGGCATGGCAGCTAGGCGCCGGAAGGGCGCTACAGTTGGACGATTTTGACCATTTATGTGCAACATCTATATTACACCAGCCCGGTAGATGACATGCTCCAGGGCAGCCGAGGCCTTTTGTTTCCCACGCTCCGTCTGCACGTCATTCGTAGATTAACTCGTGATATCTTCAGGTCGGAACCGGCCTCATAAAATAGGGGATGGAGAGGCAATCGAGTAGCTGGCACATGGAGTCCACGGCGTAGCCAATATAGTTGGTGTAGCCGAATTAACTGATCGACTGTACAAGCAGTTGGCTTTTCGCCATAACGCATTGGTCACACCCCAAAACTGCATATCAGATATTCTCATAATACATGTGCACTGCTTAAAAGACCCTTCGAGTAGTCAGACACAAACAGTCTTCTTTTGTCCGCAGTGAACCAGGCGTCACAACCGTAGAGCGGCATTAAACGTACAGCGCCATGGTGAATTACGACCGCATTCACTTCGTCGGCAATGCTTCCACCTGACGTGACAAAACAACTCAAATAGGTGAACCGATGCACTAATTCTTATGGTTCTGATGCCATTACTAGGTTTGGTAGTCCACTTACCAAGTCTTGTGACGGTACTTTTCACCTTAAAAGCTCACAACAGTGTTAATGTTATTTAGTGCATTTTGTATCCGGATGGGGTCCGAACCAAACAGTGCAATATTATCTATATACTTGAGGACATCTGTAGGACAGATTAAGACCCACACTCACTTGTTTCACTTTTCTGTACATCCTTAGTCCGAATAACGTGGCACGAACACGTATGAGCCTGCTTATCTTGGCCGTGGGAACGCTAAGCTTGGTTAAACTCTGCTACCTGACACTTAGGGGTCGCTCTGTCCATCCGTTAGATAAAAATGCGACGAACGATAAAAAAGCACAGTATAAACGTTCATAAATTGTGAAGAGCCAAAGGTTCTTGCCATTGCGATGTGGAGAAAGTCAATCTGAAGGTTTCGCTGTTCAAACAATAACCCCAAGCATGTACACATGCACATGCGAAATTGAAGACCAGCAAGATACTGAACAAATGTGGTTAAGTGGCACGTTTCCGTGGAACACACCTTCAGTTCTCACAGTGGTACAAAAACATTATCGTCGACATCAACACACCAGTAGCAAATGCCGGTGCCATACAGTTATGTGCAAAGAAAGGATAGGGGCGGGGACCTATTACAAAAAGCCTTATGTCTCTATGGTAAACGATCCAGATGTAATGCATACCAATCGGGCTGGCGACAAGGTAAACTGATCTGAGCATCATATCGAAGTTAGACGTCGGTTACGAATCTAACTCAGCCCCCCATACAACAATAGGAACACTTCACCCAGTCAGTCTGATCACTGAGTGCGACTAGTACGTTGGTAATCACCGGTCTCACATTACTCTGTTTGAAACTGACCGCCTTAATTGCGCATCTCCAAGTCATGGCCGGGGGCCCACAAGCTCTACGACGACAAGAGTTTGGTGTTAGTAGGCGGGCATACGTAGTCTATATCCTAAATACCTTCATGTGATAGGCCTCACTTGCTGCTGTGATGATCGTGGTTCATCACTAAATACTTGCATTCATGTTCCCAAATCAATTCGAATGATCTAGTTGGAGAACACGAACTTTAAGGAAAGTAGCGGTTGTTGATCGGATGACCGGTGATCTGTTCGCCGAGCTTGGCAATTGGCTTGCCTAGGTTTCGCCCCCGGTCAAGGAGACATCGTCAGTGCGCAGTTGAGTGAGTGCCTTCATCTTGTCTAGCTGCGCCTATATAGTGTTCGGAGAGTATTCAATAGCCTCTCCCGTGATTGGCTAATCGGAATGTACCTCACCTGTGATAATATTGACCTAATCACGATTTGCGCTGCACTGTGGTTTGTTAATCTTGTATTCCACTATTTGGTTGGAAGGCTCCTTTCGGGTGTTTTAGGTTCGTTT